CGATGACAACCGATGGATCTGTACCGAGCTGAACAAAGACTCAGCAAGTGGGAGCAGTAAAGCTGCTAAGTAATACATAAATGCTAGCATAACTGTTAATTACGGGGACCATAAAAACAACTCCTTCTACAGTGGCGTTGGAAGTGCTGCTGAATCTACCGCCACTTTATACAGGGCTAAGCCAGATATGCGATACACAGATTAATACCTAGTCAGCAACACATAAGCCAGACGCATAGTGGTGTCAATAGAAAGTTAATCAAAGCTAAAAGCAGATATTGTAATGGGGCAATCCATCAATGCAACAGCTACGAGATATAGCTTTGACAATAAATTCAAAATTAATGTTTGACAATTATGGTACAGCACGTAAAGAAGAAGAACAGATAATTAATGTGGAAAGTGAAAAAAGGCGAAAATTATTCCAATAAAAAATAAATATATATTAAAATGTAAAATATTACTTATAAAAATACATTATTTTACGCTTATCCGGATTCGTCGGACAAAATAATATCAGTTTTAGTAATTTTCCACAACTTGATTTGAATTTAAATGTAATTCATATAATTGATTTGTTTTGATATTTACAGCAAAAAAATTCCAAACAATTTAATTTCGTGAAAAATGGAAATCCTTCGTGAAAATTATCCTGCGATGATTTTATCCGACTTTAACAGGTTGACTGCCAGCCTCTTTTCCCCTGCATTGCCAAAGAGTCATTTGAGTACCACATATGGTACTCAGTTCAGAAGATAAGTTCAAATATTGAGGGCCATATATGGTACTCAGTATAACTTACAAAACTGCATGCCGTGTACCTAAACAGTCACTCGGCTTGTATATTTTATACGAAGAAATTGAAGTTTTGGCCTTAGAAAACTGTTCCATAATTTTAGCCTTTGGCTAGATGGTATTATACTCTTTTTATGAACGTCGTTCATCAAAGTGTAATAAAAACGCTTTTTTAGCTTAAATATTTATTTAACAAATAGCGTAATTCTAAAAGGTACAAAAAATAGTCGACAACTTAACATAAATGCTAATAAAGAAAAATTACTGTAGTTTGGCAGAACGTACCTTAAAAAAGCAGTCAGAGCACAACTATTTGGCGCAAGCAAAACACTTTGTCCGCACATGGGGAGTCTCCTTTTGTGCTGTTTGCCTTCCATACCTGTTAACAATATCCCTATAGCATGGGGTGCAGCGGTTCTTTTAAACATTTTACTAAATTGTGTAAATTATTAGCAGGCATTACACAATCGCGTTTATCGCGCAAATAATATATAAAAATCGTCATTGCCTCATGGGTCAACATGCTGTAGAAGAGCTGTAGCATAAATGGCAAGTTAACTGAGTACCACATGTGATACGGATGGCAGTCAACCTGTTACAGTTGGTCTAACTACTCATCAAAGCGTCGATCGATGTCAACTTATTTTTCGCAATAAAGTACTAGACTTATCAACTGTTAATAGATGATATAAATAATTAAAGCGTAGCCCAGAGACGAATTCCGTGAAGATTGTCCGCCAACAGCTATTGACCGGAAAACATTGATATGTGCGCTGCATGAATGAAAGATGTCGACTTGTTAACTATCATGAGATCCGTGCATCATTAGGCATAAGCATGAGTTAAATGTACGTGTCCTTATTTCAAGATGAGCCAAAACCAATAAAAGTAGTCCACACTCGCAGCGTTGGTAAACAAACGGTGACGAGTTTTTTTTACACATATTGCCACGATTTCGTTAGAGAATGGTAGAACCATCAATACTAAATGATATGCAACTATTTGTTTAACAGAAGTGATTGATGCATCCTCTTACGTTTTAAGACTCCAGATGAGGCGATCGAAGCATACAAAGATCTTATTTCTGAGGTAGCCATTTCGGACACACATAAATAATTTGACGGTTGGTTTATTCGATAGCAAAAGTGTATTGATCTTAAAGGCGAATATTTTAAAGCTTTAAAAAACAATCAAGCTGGTTTTTTTACAAAAATATGTTTTCTTTCTATTATTTGTGCAAAACTTTTAGTATATCTAAGTATAAAAAAGTTTTTAATAATTTTTTGTTTTCTTCACTTCCACAAAATTTGTTTCTCCTACAGCTTTTTTGGCAGTCCTTTTTCAAGTGATATATTTTTAGTACGCATCTGCATATTATAGTCTATAACTGAATAAGTTGAGAGCTGTTTGTCTTCAGTTGCTCATTCAGGATTATATCTGTATTTTTTAATTTATTAGTTGCTATAGAATCTAATCAAGATTGTTTAAGGCCTTTATTTTGAATATGGAGAACTTGAAATTGGTCATTAAAAGAATGATTATGATCTAGAAGGTGACGTGCATACACTTATAAGAATAAATTTTTCTGTTATTGAAAGCAATTTTGTGTTCTGCTATACGTTTGTTAAAGATTCTACCAGTTTGACCGATGTATGTTTTTGGGCAGTCACCATATGTAAGTTTGTGTACGCCACTGTGTAAGTGCTTTTTCTTTTGGCTCTTGTTGTTCTTAATGTATTTGCTCAAGTTCTTGGTTGTTCTGAAAGCTGGTGTTATTCCTTTCCTTTTTTGTGTGTGGCTATTTTTGTTGATATCTTGTCTGTATATGTAATTGTACTAATTTTAGGGCTTTTCTATGCAGTTTTTTGTTTAAACTGTTGTTTATAGTACCCATTGTTTACTGCTATTTGCTTAATGATATTTAATTCTATCTTGAAGTTATTTGGCATAGGAATTTCTGTTAATCTATGTAACATACTATGGTAGGCGACTAATTTATGTTGTGTAGGATGGGATAAAAGTTTTCAGTATTTTATTCCTAGACTAAATGAATTTCCATCAACAGTCAAATCCTTCACTTTTAGTGTACACTTCATAACTCGACTATTTCTAGTATGAATTATCCGGTAATAGATATATCGTGATAATATACCTATTCGATATCATACATTTATTTATAGGTTTTATATTTACCTTAAAAATTCATACCATGTTTTTAATCTTTAAGTCTATTTTTCAATTTCCCGACTGCAAAAACGGCCCTTGTATTATCGGATTATTATTATCACGTGTAGATGTTTTTTATGAAGTATTCCAAAGAAAATTGACTGTAACAATAAAACACTGAAAACTTTGTTTTCAAACTTCCTCAAAATTTATTTTAACTATTATCACTACAGTTGTTTCGGCTGGTTGCCTTTCTCAAGTTATCTATTTTTGGCATGCGTTTACAATTTATAGTCTCTAATGAAATAGGTTGAGGAGGGGAGAACTGTTTATCTCAAGTTGGTCATTCAGAATTATATCTGTGTTTTTTAATTTGTTGATTTCCATAGATTCTAACAAACATAGCTTAAGGCCTTTATTTTGAATGTGAAGTATTTTAAATTTGTCATTAAAAGAATGATTATGATCTATAAGGTGAAGTGCGTATGTCGAATCTGTTTTTCTATTATTGAAAGCCCTTTTATGTTCTGCTATTCGTTTATTAAAGTTTCTACCAGTTTGACCGATGTAAGTTTTTGGGCAGTCGCCACATTGAAGTTTGTACACACCACTATTTAAGTGTTTTTTATTTTGGCTCTTGTTATTTTTAATATATTTGCCTAGGTTGTTATTTGTTCGGAAAGCTGGTGTTATTCCTTTCTTTTTTATGTGTTTGGCTATTTTTGTTGTTATTTTGCCTGTATATGTAATCGAGCAGAAGGTACTGGGTTTTTTCTCTGGTGGTGGAAATACTAATTTCAGGGGCAAACAGTTCTCCCCTCCTCAACCTATTTCATTAGAGACTATAAATTGTAAACGCATGCCAAAAATAGATCACTTGAGAAAGGCAATCAGCCGAAACAGCTGTAGTGATAATAGTTAAAATAAATTTTGTGGAAGTTTGAAAACAAAGTTTTCAGTATTTTATTGTTACATAAAATGAATTTCCATCAAGTAACGGTCGAATCCATCAATTATTTAAAATTGACTGTCATTCACATTTAAATAATAGTATGCCAATTTATATACTCTACATTTTTGTGCATCAACATTTTCCTAGTGTTTTCTACTTATTATTTTCTAATTACATGTACAAATATAGTCTTCTTCTTCTTTTTTTTATATATAGACATGACTCTGTCTGTTTTCAATGTGCCTCCAATAAGTAAAAAGTAAAGTTCGTGTAACCTTCTGTTTTAAGGTCTAGTGTTGGGGTTTTCAGGTCACGCAAACGCCCGTAACATGAGTTAACGACTACTTTCGTAGCCGTGACCGACGGATTTATGTACCCTCCGAAGCACGGTGGCAGCTCAGTTGAATTAGAAATTAAAAATTTTGTCGGTGCCGGGATGTCCAGTAAGTTGTCATTCCATCGTTTTCGTGGTCTTCCTACTGATCGTCTTCCTATTGGGGAACCGTCTTTACTGCTCTATTTGTTGTCATTCGGCTTATATGATTCGTTCCATTCTACTCTTCTATTTATTACCCAGTTTTTGATGTTCTCTGCCTTGCATCTATGTCGTATATCTGTACTTCTAGCTCTGTCCCATAGTGTCTTACCATCAATGTCTCTGTGTTTTCATATACTGTTCATACTATTTATGATCACTGCGAAGTTAACGGATTCCCCAGCGCCTTTTGACGTGGAAGAAGATTTGAGCACGTAGATAGTGGAGAAAATCACTAGACGTGAAAGGAATTTTGAGGCAGGTCAACGCTTACAGTCGATTGTAGCGCCATTTGATGATGATTAGGCATACATAAAATGATTTTCATTTTCTTTATTTCAGTTCTAAATAGTTCATTGAATATAAGGTCAAATTAGATTCTCAATATTATGGTAATATTCTTTTTCTTCCTGGAATAGATTGTTCTTGGAGCAGTTATCCTGAGCTTCTAATTACAAGACTAAATATTGCTGTTTTAGGACAGAAAATAATTAAATTTTTCATATTATTTTCGTGTGTTTTTTTTTTTAATATTTGTCTCTTTTATTTCAGAGCTCTATCAACGATTCAAACAAAAGCGAAGCCGTCAGTAAACAACACCCCAATGTTCTCAAAAGAGGAAAGCAGGGAATTCATGGCGATATTTCCAGATATAGTACGCGATTTAACGGATGCTGGAAGGCACACGGACATTCCCGAAGTAACTAAAAGGTTCGCTAAAGTGCTACAGTATAACGTACCCACCGGAAAAAAGACCAGAGGATTATCCACTGTAATCGCCTACAAGATGCTGGAGCGACCGGAAAATCTCACTCCTGAAAATATTAGGCTGGCCAATATTTTGGGATGGTGTGTAGAGTTGGTAAGTGTTTATTGAGCCTTTTCCCGTTTTATCATTATAGGTATTTTTGCAAAAATGAATCGTTTTTGTAAATTTGTGTATTATGTCAATGTAATATTTATAAATCAGTCGATTACCATTTGGAGAACAATAACTCATTTTCATATTCATGACTACACCTAAGAAATCGAACGCTAAATTATAGTACTACAAGTGTCAATTTCATACCATAAGTTAAAATGGACTATATCCCAAAATAATTTGTTAAGAATCACGTAATTTAGGAACCGCACATAATTAGTGATTTTTACGAGTAGTTATGCTTTCTTGACTACAAGAAAGCTTTTAACATCAGCAATAAGCATCAGTTCCAGAAAAAAGAATTATTAATAATATCAGCCTACAATCTATAGTGACTTGCATGAATAGGTTGAGATAGAACAGACCGACTAGCCATCATTAGGGGAATTCGCCAAAAGGTACTATCCCTCCAAGTCGTTTAGCTTAGACCTGGAATATATCTTTAAAACCTAGGAATGCGAAATAAGAACACTAATATAGATAGCAAACCTTCAGAAAATAGGAAGGTAAGGCTTGATAATTTAACATTGTAAAACATATCCAAATATATCATTTGGACACAAAATCCAGTTGGGAAAAGAAAACCAGAATTCTGACGAGAATATAAGAGTGTTGCAATGTTCAAATCAAACAAATGAGATGGTTTATTTAACAATTTATTTATTTAAATAATGAAAATTCGTAAGATTTGCACAAAGTACATACAAATTAGAAAAAAAAACGTCTCCGTGAACACGAACCAGAGATACAGTTAACAGCTCCTTCTCTCTCCATCGCTTCCGCGAGTTTCAACGCTGTCAGATTTTAAAGACCAAATTTTGAAGCTTTGTGGACGATTCCGTTAAAAGGCAATTTTTTTCGAATTTGGCACATTACAATTATACAGTACGTTCTTTAAAATGACGCGAATAGGAATAATTGTTATAAATAAAGCTGCTGTGAATTAAAAAAAAAACGGGGACTAACTTCGTGCCACATTGTCCTAGGATAACTTTTCTTTTTTTAAAATGAAAAAATTCAAGCTTTCCAAATATGTTTTTGGATTTTGCAATACTTAGAATTGTTTTTCTTCATCTTTTAATATTGTTTAATATTTGTTTTTTATATTTTTATTTTTTTATTTTTTTATATTTATATTTGTAATATGTTTAATATTATTTATTATTATTTAATATTAATTTAATATTTCTTCAATATTGATATAATTCATCTCCTTTTTTTCATAAGGTACCCGTAGAATTACTGTAACTTTATTATTTTCTGTCTTATATTGTTACGAAAAAGTTAATTTGGAATAAACAAATAAAATAACTTTTAAACTATTTGACCAATCAATGGCTTGAAATTTTGATAATATTTTAAGCGCCACAATTCCCAAGATTCTATGCAATATGAAGGTTCTAAGTTTATTTTTAAAACAGTTACCATTTATAAAAAACCGAAATTTCTGATTTATTTTGCAACTTTATAAGCTACAAATAAGGATAGCAGCATTAAAAAGCGTCATTTTGAAGGTTTTTGTATGAATTATAAGTTTCTTACTCTCAAATTTGTTTTAAATGCTTCGCTTTTTGCTGATAGCCGAAAAAAGCGAAAATGTACCGTTTTTGAACTTGGATTTGTTAATTTTGGACATGAATTTGGATTATTAAATCCACAAAATCGACTGTAGGAAACATATAGATTTTTGTTATAGAGTTCCTTACTATACAAAACAACTATCGTTTGCTTTTGGGCTCAATGTTACAAACAGGGTACTTCTTTTTTTTTTGCTTATTGCCCTGAACTAAACACGGAAGAGTGTATGTGCCTTGTATATTGGAATATGTACGGTCTTGAAAAAGTGACACCTATGCTGGATATGGTTCCAAACAACACCCGGGGCAGTGTGTTGTTGCAAATAACACAACGAGCTATGAAAAGGGCTAGGCTGGGAATAAGTTTAGGAGACAGAGTCAGACATGAAGAAATTTTGAAACCTAACTACTAGGTGTTCTTGAAAAAGTGGTTAAGCTGAAGTGCAAATAGGCAGGTCGCATAACGCGACCTTTTTGATGGGAATAAGCCACAATTATAGTTTAAAATAAGTTTATTGTCGTTTCAATTTCCACTTCGGAAATCGTTCTAGACATACAAACATTAATGAATTAAACAAATCTTGTTTTTTGTTACTTGGCGAAAAATTCTTATATAATAAATATATCAGCTATAATGGAGTTATTGACATTATGTACTGATAATACTTATTTTCAAGTAAATAATGAATTCTGTAAACAAAATTATTAGCTGATATATTTATGGAAGATTTTGAAAGGAGTATTATTTCTAAACAAAATTTAAAACCCACGGTATGGTGGAGATAGATGATGATGTCAATAACCTTATTTTAAACTTCAATTGTGGCTTATTCCCATTAAAATAGTAATTTATTTAAGATTACACAAGAAAATAGCTTCAGAACATTATTTTATACTTTTGGGAATGAAAAAAAAAAAACAAATCTTAAGCGGCTTAATTGATTACGTTTTATAAAAAATGCTTCTATAAAAGAAATATGTCACAAAAATTAAAAAAGATATAAATAGGTTTCTGGAAATAAAAAAAATTGCGATATTGGTCGTAAAAGTTGAAAAGTACTTTTTACAAAGTTTTACAAGGATTATATTCTTGCTTATAGCATGAATTCTAAATAAATAATAGAATTAAATTAGTGAGTGTTGTCCTCGGCGTCGGCAGTAATTATCTCGATGGTTCAAAGGGTAGAAATATCTAGATATTTTAAGGGACTATTTAAGCCGCTTATCGTTATTAGACAGTCTGTAATTAGATTTCAAAGAGCAAATAAATAAAAATAAAAGATGTCCAAATGAAGAACTTATAAACTGCTGGAAACACAAGCAATAAATATTTTAGCGAAATCGACGAGACATGGATTCCGTATATAAATACAAGAGACATATACAGGGTGTCCCCGAAAATAGTGCGTTCCTTTAAGGTATGGATGTAATACACAATTTGGAACAAAAAGTCTTCTAACATTTTTTTCTAACCTTACCGTTTCAAAAACAAATTACATTGTTTTCCATATACGTAAATTTTTATTTTCAGAAAATTAAATAATCTGACGTCATACGCAACTCGTTTGTGACTTCGGACTTCGGATATTTAACATACCAACCCTTGGTTTTATTTACTATTCAAGGTTGCCTACTATAATTTCTTACAAACATTTTGTAAGAAATTATAGTAGGCCTCTCCATTTAGTGTTCTGGATAATTCACATGGTCCTATCAAACGATTGTTAATTATTCCAGCCCTTAAATTTATGACAAATTTTCTTTGAAAATTTGTCCTAGGTATTAAATAATGGTTCTCGCCACCCCATATGTGGCAATTATGAAAATTATATATACAGTTTCTCGTGAAACATGCTTCATCCGCACATAACGCTTTAGGTGGATTCAGGTTCTCTGATGAATGTATCTTGAAACCACCTACAAAATGTTAATTTTAGAGGAAGATCACCTTGTTGTAAATCTTCTACTTTTTAATAGTGGTATAGATATAGAAGTTGCTCCCTAAATGTTCTATGAACAACGTTTTTTTACATTCCAATATACATAAATTCCCGACATAAATATGGACAGCTAAATTACCGTTACACTGAGATTCTCCGTAAATAATCTACATCATGGTATTCACGAATCGAAAACATTTTCGCGGTGTTGTTCCAAAATATCTGTTAACTAAAGTTGTGACTGTTTGTTTACGTTTAGATTTTTGTATTGCACGTAGTTGACAGATTTCTTTTTGCACACCAAAATGTATTTTCGTTTTTTTTTTTTCAAACGGTTGAATTTAGAAAAAATGTTATAAGACTTTTTTGGTCTAAATGGAGCATTTTACCTATACCTTTAAGGAATACACTATTTTCGGGGACACCTTGTATACAGTTTATAATTATAGATGCTGAAGGGACGATATAATTACAAATTAATGCGAAAACAGCTAGATACCTATTTTATCTAATTTAATGACTGTCAGTAGGACGACCACGAAATAAATAGAACGTTAACATTCTTGATACTCCATCTTGTGAGACCGCTCCCGTGGAAAAAAATGTTTCTAATTTGGTTTCTTTACGGATTCTTGTTCAAAAATGTCCCCTTTAAACAAATCTAAAGGGTGTCGTGCAAAATTTTCGGGCAGAAATTGTTTTAAACATTTTTTTAAACAAATTTTAAAAATCACCATTTTTGCTTCCAAAATTTTTATTTTTTTGGTTTTTGTGTCATTCTACGAGATTTTCGGGAAAAATTTTTTAAACAAATTCCAAAAATAATCTTTTTATTCCGAAAAATGGTTTTTAGAATTTAGAAAAATGGAAAAAAATTTTAAGTTTTCTGTGTAATTCTAAACAAAAAAGGTCTGTTCTTAAAAAGCGATTTAAAATCTGAAAATTGTGAAAATATTCGAGGATGGATTGATTGATTGATAACTATCTTAATAATAAATTACAAAATATTAATAAATGTCAATATTTGTTGTGATTTTATTGGCGTAAGTAATATGTATGAGTGCGAACATTGACGCGTATAATTAACAATTAAAAAGCAACGAAAGCATCTAAATTGAAATAAGCTCTTCTGAATCTTGAAACTGAATGTTAAACTTTCATTTACGCACTTGGCTTCAAAAATAATAATTGGACCACCAGTTAGATGAAGGGAATGAAACCAAAAAGTAGATTTTCGGGAAATCATAAAAAACTGTTTATTCGTTCTATTTTTTAATTTTTTCTTGTTTACTAATGACATCTACTACTATAAAGTACAGTTTATATAAGTTAATTGGGATTGGAGAAAAACCATCCAGTGATTTTCGTTATCTAGATAACCGATAAAGGAAATCTTGGATTTATTCCTTTTATTACAACTTTT